GAGACCTCATCTCTACAATAAATCAAAAAATCAGCCGGGCGTGGTAGCGCATGCCTGTAATTCCAGCTACTTGGAAGACTGAAGTGGAAGGATCGCAGGAGCCCAGCAAGTCGAGGCTGTGATGGCCGGAAGCGGCCACTGCACTCCAGTCTGGGCAACAGAGTGAGACTCCAACTCAAAATAATAATAATAATAATAATAGCCAGACTCCATGGCTCAGCCTGTAATCCCAGCACTTCGGGAGGCTGAGGTGAGTGAATTGCCTGAGCCCACGGGTTATTTAAACTGATAACCAACAAACCTGGATCCTGGCTTTTAACCATGTTAAAGTTATTTGGGCAACTTATTCTGGAATAAAAAAAAAAAGCCAGACTTTTTTTTTTTTGAGTTGGAGTCTCACTCTATCACCCAGATTGGAGTGCAATGGCCGCTCCTGGCCACTGCAGCTTCGACCTCCTGGGCTCAGGCAATCCACTCACCTCAGCCTCCCAAAGGCGTGGGATTACAGGCTGAGCCACCAAGCCCGACAACGCCCGGCTAATTTTTTTGATTTATTGTAGAGATGAGGTCTCGCCAAGTTGCCCAGGCGGGTCTCGAACCCGCGGGCTCAGACAATCCACTCACCTTAGCCTCCCAAAGGCACGGGATTATAGGCTGAGCCACCGAGCCCAGCTAGGGCTGGCATTTTTTTCTCATTATTTTGATAGAAGCATTTAGTAGAACTATCCCCTAATGTTGGGACTTAAGCCAGATTTTTTTCTTCCTTTATCTAAATCAAGATAACTTTGTCATTGGCTTCTTAGAGGTCACTGGTGTGCCCTGTTTGACTTATATAGCACTGGGAACAGGCATCCTGTGACAATGACGTGTAGTGCTGCTTCTCAGCATTGACCTGCGCAGGTGATAACAGGACTGTGCTTGCAGGAGAAGGGATCCGTGAGAGCAAAGCATCAGCGGCTGATGTTCAGAGCAGCTACATCTGTAGCTGAGGGAGGAAGGTGTCACACATGAACCCATTACTTCAGACTATGCCAACATAGTAATATGATTCAGCTGGGAGGAAGACTGGGTAATAGAGCAGGACATGACTGGGCTCGGTGGCTCAGCCTATAATCCTAGCACTTTGGGAGGCCGAGGCGAGTGGTTTGCCTGAGTCCGCAGGTTCAAGACCTTCCTGGGCAACTTGGTGAGACCTTGTCTCTACAATAAATCAAAAATGAGCCGGGCATGGTAGTGCGCCTGTAGTTCCGGCTACTTGGAAGGCTGAGGCGGAAGGATTGCTGGAGTCCAGCAGGTTGAAGCTGTGGTGGTCGGGAGTGTGCCACTGCATTCCAGTCTGGGCAACAGAGAGATTCCAACTCAAAAAAAAAAAAAAAAAAAAAAAAA